ACTCTAGATGCTGGCAAGGATGTGGAGGAACGGGCACCCTCCTACACTGTTGGTGGGAATGTAAACTGGTGCGGCCCCTCTGGAAAACGGTGTGGAGGTTCCTCAAAAAGTTAACAATAGAACTCCCCTATGACCCAGCACTAGCACTGCTAGGAATTTACCCAAGGGATACAGGAGTGCTGATGCATAGGAGTACATGTACCAGTGTTCATAGCAGCATTCTTAACAATAGCTACAACATGGAAAGAGCCTAAGTGTCCATCAACAGATGAATGGATCAAGAAGATGTGGTTTATCTATACCATGGAATACTACATGGCAATGAGAAACAATGAAATCTGGCCATGTGTAGCAACCTGGATGGACCTTGAGGGTGTTATGCTGAGCGAAATAAGTCAGGCAGAGAAGGACAAATACCATATGTTTGCACGTATAGGAGGATTAGGAGGAACTTGACGGAGGACCAAGGGGGAGAAGAAGGGCGGAAATGGTGGGGGAAAGGGAGAGAGGCAAACCATGAGAGACTCTTGAATGCTGACAAAAACTGAGGACGGATGGATGTGGGGGGGAGGGGGGATGGGCATGAAGGAGGGCACTTTGGGGATGAGCACTGAGTGTTATGTAGAAACTAATTTGACAATAAACTATTTGTAAAAAAAAAAAAAAAAAAAAAAAGAAAGGCAAACGAAGCAATAGAATAAATAAACAGAATAATGCCTCAAAACAAACATATATATGAAATTTAGAATATGACAGAAATGCCACTACAAATAAATGGGGGTAATAATGGACAGTGAAATAAACAGTGCTGGGACACCTGGCTATCTGTATGGAAAAATGTAATCAACACCCTCCTCGATATGCAAAAGTCAATCCAGATGGATTAACACTTTAAGATAATAAATCAAACTCTTAAAGGTATTAGAAGAAAATAGAGTGGAGTATCTATATGACAAAAGTGCAAGAAATGGTTGCTTAAACAAGTAATTATATACCAAAAGGGAACTAATAATAACTGCAACATCATTAAAATTCAAAACTGCTTTGTCAAAGATTAATTGGCCATATATTTATAGGTCCATTTCTGGGTTTTCTATTCTAGTCCATTGATCTACATGTCCATTTTTATGCCAGTACCATACTGTTCTTTTTTAATGTTTATTTATTTTAAGAGAGAGAGAGCAGGGGAGGGGCAGAGAGAGAGAGGGAGACAGAGAAATTCATCCAAACAGAAAGCTTCTGCAAAGCAAAGGAAACAAACAACAAAACTACAAGGCAACCTACGGAATGGGAGAAGATATTTGCAAATAACGTATCTGATAAAGGGTAAGTATCCAAAATATATTAAGAACTTATCAAATTCAACACCCCAAAATGAATAATTCAGTTAAAAAATGGGCAGAGGAGGGGTGCCTCGGTGGATTAAGCATCCAACTTCAGCTCAGGTCATGATCTCACAGTTTGTGAGTTCAAGCCCCATGTTGGGCTCTGTATTGACAGCTCAGAGCCTGGAGCCTGCTTTGGATTCTGTGTCTCCCTCTCTCTCTGCCCCTCCCCCACTCACACTGTGTGTGTGTGTGTGTGTGTCTCTCTCTCAAAAATAAATAAAC